TGTTTGATGGAGTGTTAATTAAAATTGATAAAAAGTGAACTCATAAAAAACGAAACAAAAAACCCCGTAGTATGAAAAACTTTTAAGTCAAGAGATTATAAGAATGTGACCACCTGTTTGATTTATCAGTCAATCAAAACATTGCATGGAACAAAGTAAACAAAGCGGTCTTTGTGAAAGTGACTTTATCTACGTCACTACATGATTGAATGACTTCACTGCGATATATCAACCGATCTTTTTAAATCTAATTAAAGAATAATCCAGTAGAAATTGAAACCGCGTCCCGAGCTAAATAATGATACCTGTACATTTCTAAGATCTTTTTTTTTGACGTAGATATATTGGCGTGACAGTTTTAATGACTTTGTGTCAGTCTATAACTCCTATCGAGTTGAGTGGTTTTTTTGTTGTGTTTGTATGGACGTCAGTGTACGATAATGTAAACACTACAAAACGTGCGGGTTGAAGGTCACTGTACAAGAATGTCAACACTGCAAAACATGGGCTGAGTGTCATTGTAAAATAATGTAAACATTTTTTTAAAAAAGGGTTGGTTAAACGTTAAAAAAAATGGATATGTAAACTGAACAATGTAGTAGTTTAAAGGTTAGTAGAAACATTGCACAGGCGCTGTGAGAAGTGTATTGTGACTGTGTGTGGTAACTATGTGTGGCAACTATGTGGTAACTGTGTGTGGTAACTGTATAGTGATTGTGTGTGGTAACTGTGTGTGGTAACTGTATAGTGATTGTGTGTGGTAACTGTGTGTGGTAACTGTGTGTGGCAACTATGTGTGGTGACTGTGTGTGGTGACTGTGTGTGGTAACTGTGTGTGGCAACTATGTGTGGTAACTGTGTGTGGTGACTATGTGTGGTAACTGTGTGTGGTGACTGTGTGTGGTGATTGTATGTGGTGACTGTGTGTGGTGACTGTGTGTCGTGATTGTGTGTGGTGAACGTGTGTGGTGAACATATGTGGTGACTGTGTGTGGTGACTGTGTGTCGTGATTGTGTGTGGTGATTGTATGTGGTGACTGTGTGTGGTGACTGTGTGCGGTGATTTTGTGTGGTGATTGTGTGTGGTAACTGTGTGTGGTAACTGTGTGTGGTAACTGTATAGTGATTGTGTGTGGTGACTGTGTGTGGTGATTGTGTGTGGTGATTGTGCGAGGTGACTGTGTGGTGACTGTGTGTGGTGACTGTGTGTGGTGATTGTGTTTATTGTGTGTGGTGAATGTGTGTTGTGATTGTATGTGGTGACTGTGTGTGGTGATTGTGTGTGGTGATTGTGTGTGGTGATTGTGTGTGGTGATTGTGTGTGTGGTGATTGTGTGTGGTGGCTGTGTGTGGTAATTGTGTGTGGTGATTGTGTGTGGTGATTGTGTGGTGACTGTGTGTGGTGACTGTGTGTGGTGATTGTATGTGGTGATTGTGTGTGGTGACTGTGTGTGGTGATTGTGTGTGGTGACTGTGTGTGGTGATTGTGTGTGGTGATTGTATGTGGTGATTGTGTGTGGTGATTGTATGTGGTGATTGTGTGTGGTGACTGTGTGTGGTGACTGTGTGTGGTGATTGTGTGTGGTGACTGTGTGTGATGACTGTGTGTGGTGACTGTGTGTGGTGACTGTGTGGTGACTGTGTGTTTATTGTGTGCGGTGATTGTGTGTGGTGATTGTGTGTGGTGACTGTGTGTGGTGACTGTGTGTGGTGATTGTGTGTGGGGATTGTGTGTGGTCATTGTGTGTGGTGACTGTGTGTGGTGATTGTGTGTGGTGACTGTGTTTATTGTGTGTGGTGACTGTGTGTGGTGATTGTGTGTGGTAATTGCATGTGTGGTGATTGTGTGTGGTGACTGTGTGTGGTGATTGTGTGTGGGGATTGTGTGTGGTGATTGTGTGTGGTGACTGTGTGTGGTGATTGTGTGTGGTGACTGTGTTTATTGTGTGTGGTGACTGTGTGTGGTGATTGTGTGTGGTAATTGCATGTGTGGTGATTTTGTGTGGTGACTGTGTGTGGTGATTGTGTGTGGGGATTGTGTGTGGTGATTGTGTGTGGTGATTGTGTGTGGTGACTGTGTGTGGTGATTGTGTGTGGTGATTGCGTGTGTGGTGATTGTGTGTGGTGATTGCGTGTGTGGTGATTGTGTGTGGTGACTGTGTGTGGTGACTGTGTGTGGTGACTGTGTTTATTGTGTGTGGTGATTGTGTGTGGTGATTGTGTGTGGTGATTGTGTGTGGTGATTGTGTGTGGTGATTGTGTGTGGTGATTGTGTGTGGTGATTGTGTGTGGTGACTGTGTGTGGTAACTGTGTGTGGCAACTATGTGTGGTAACTGTATAGTGATTGTGTGTGGTGACTGTGTGTGGTGAACGTGTGTGGTGATTGTGCGAGGTGACTGTGTGGTGACTGTGTGTGGTGACTGTGTGTGGTGATTGTGTTTATTGAGTGTGGTGAATGTGTGTGGTGATTGTATGTGGTGATTGTGTGTGGTGACTATGTGTGGTGATTGTATGTGGTGATTGTGTGAGGTAATTGTGTGTGGTGATTGTGTGTGGTAACTGTGTGTGGTGACTGTGTGTGGTAACTGTGTGTGGTGATTGTGTGTGGTGACTGTGTGGAGATTGTGTGTGGTGACTGTGTGGTGACTGTGTGGAGATTGTGTGTGGTGACTGTGTGGTGATTGTGTGTGGTGACTGTGTGGTGACTGTGGTGACTGTGTGGTGACCGTGTGGTGACTGTGTGGTGATTGTGTGTGGTGACTGTGTGGTGACTGTGTGGTGACTGTGGTGACTGTGTGGTGACCGTGTGGTGACTGTGTGGTGATTGTGTGTGGTGACTGTGTGGAGACTGTGTGTGGTGACTGTGTGGAGATTGTGTGTGGTGACTGTGTGGTGACTGTGTGGTGACTGTGTGGTGACCGTGTGGTGATTGTGTGTGGTGACTGTGTGGTGATTGTGTGTGGTGATTGTGGGGTGACTGTCTGGTGATTGTGGGGTGACCGTTCAGTGTATGATATCTGGCGTATGTTGTCTGTGTTTGATGTATGATTTCTGTTTGGTGTATAATGTCTGTTTGGTGCGGGAAGACCGTGATTTGGTGTGTGATGTTCATACAGCCGAGTTTAGACAAAGAATTAAAATGTCTCTTACCTTCTGCCTGTCTTCTTCTACCAGAACATCAACACCCGGTCACTGAATTCTAACTCGATACAATATTAGGTCACTGCATTCTAATAACTTGATACAACATCAGGTCACTGTATTCTAACTCGATACAACATTAGGTCACTGTATTCTAACTCGATACAACATCAGGACACTGTATTCTAATAACTTGATACAACATCAGGTCACTGTATTCTAACTCGATACAACATTAGCTCACTGTATTCTAATAACTTGATACAACATCCAGTTACTGTATTCTAATAGCTCGATATAACATCAGGTAAATGTATTCTAATAACTCGATACAACATCAGGACACTGTATTCTAATAACTTGATACAACATCAGGTCACTGTATTCTAACTCGATACAATATCAGGTCACTGTATTCTAACTCGATACAACATTAGGTCACTGTATTCTAATAACTTGATACACCATCCAGTTACTGTATTCTAATAGCTCGATATAACATCAGGTAAATGTATTCTAATAACTCGATACAACATCAGGACACTGTATTCTAATAACTTGATACAACATCAGGTCACTGTATTCTAACTCGATACAACATCAGGTCACTGTATTCTAACTCGATACAACATTAGCTCACTGTATTCTAATAACTTGATACAACATCCAGTTACTGTATTCTAATAGCTCGATATAACATCAGGTAAATGTATTCTAATAACTCGATACAACATTAGGTCACTGTATTCTAATAAGTTGATACAACATTCGGTTACTGTATTCTAACTCGATACAACATCAGGTCACTGTATTCTAACTTGATACAACATTAGGTCACTGTATTCTAACTTGATACAACATTAGGTCACTGTATTCTAATAACTTGATACAACATTAGGTCAATGTATTCTAATAACTCGATAAAACATTAAGTCACTAAATGCCACTTGATACAACACTAACTCACTGAAATCCAACAACTTAAAACAACATAAGGTCACTGCATTCTAACTTGGTACGTCATAAACTCACTGAAATCCAAGAAGTATAGAAAACATAAGGTCACTTAAGACACTACACATCCCTATAGAAGTCCATCTACTTCGATGTGATCTGTGTGTAAGTCAAAATGTAAATAACGTGTTATAGGATTGTTCTTCTTGTGTTCAATTCAAAGTGTGTATTGCAAATAACGTAAAGATTGTTCTCCCTTGTGTGTAGTTTTGATGTGTCAACCAAGTATTGTTTGTGACAGGGTAGCGAGTGTGAATGTGAGCGAGTGAGTTCGTGTTCTGTGTCCCACACCTCCCCTCACCCCCAGACCTCGGGTGTTACCTGTTGATATCCGAGTTCATACCAACATGAACACGAACTCAGTCGCTTACCTGTGATACTGGGTCTAGGATAGTGTACCCCCGGGTCCCTACCCCCCCCCCCCCTCCACACACATGAATTACCCATTGTAATTACCTCACTGTAAATGACCCCCAAAGTAGCTACTCATGTTTGTTATCAATTATATAAGAAACCGGCTTTCTAAAACAGTATTTGGCATTCTAATTATAGAATGCTTGAATTCAAGTTGAATTAGATCACAGAGTACGGAATGAGGACTGTAACAGAACCAATGACCGCCATCACGGTTGGATGGACCACCTCTCATCACAGTCTTGTAGTTAAAGAAATGTTTTAACTTACAGAAAAATATGTCTGTTATGTGATGGAAGTTTTAGTTCGTAGACTACCCACATAATTGATATATAATACAGACCAACTTACCCGACCTGTCAGACATTTAGGGGTGTTGCTTGCAACTATTCTCTAACAATTTCAACTAGAAAACATAAAAACAACTAAATAAGTTTAACTGCCTGTTTATTGTACTTCTCACCTAGTTATTAAGCCAGGGCAATTATAAGCTGGTTATAATTAAACAGTAAAAATGCAATTACTTTTATAATCAGTACAAAGAGAAAAAAAAACAAGTTTAATATCAATGTGAAATGAAATTTGTTTCTAGCAATTCAGCAGTGCATAGATGATATAATATCTCCACAAACACACAGCAAAACACTAGAACAATTGGTCAGCCACTCATCCACATCTAATATACTATCTTATACATTCACACTAAGCAAAATAGGTAAAAAAAAATCGTGTGCATTCACTCTAAGCAAAACATGTAAACAATCTTGTACATTCGCGCACTAAGCAAGACATCGAAACTATATTATGTCACTTGACTAATGACACAGAACAATGCAAACAGGCAAGCTGTGTTCTTTCACCACTGGCCAACAGACACAAGCAACAACATCCATTAAACACAGGCTATGGTCCTGTGTATCTAAAAAAAATTGTTCATTCACCACTGGCCAACAGACACAAGCAACAACATCCATTAAACACAGGCCATGGTACTGTGTATCTAAAAAAAATTGTTCATTCACCACTGGCCAACTACACAAGCAACAACATCCATTAAACACAGGCCATGGTCCTGTGTATCTAAAAAAAATTGTTCATTCACCACTGGCCAACAGACACAAGCAACAACATCCATTAAACACAGGCCATGGTCCTGTGTATCTAAACAAAATGATGCAGTACTGAAGCTATGTGTGAAACCAACACATCAAGTATTAGTTCACAAAGAGATAAACCATCCTACAATACAGCTTCTTAATGTCTTGTTGATTCAGGCAACTTCTACTCCCCCTCCCCCTTTTCCATACAAAATTAAACATACAAAATTAAAAACCTTTTATTTTATAATGTTATACATCTTGTATCAGCAAACACACACACTGGCTATTTGTGAATGAGACTATCACAGGTGCAGTGATAATCTCAAGCACAATTACCATCTCAACAAAAACATTTGAAGAATTGAACTGCTAGCTTCAGCTCTTGTATATAATAATGTTAATTAGCATGTTGATCAATTACACAGTATGGGGAATATTTCTTGAAAACATATTCAGAAAGTTACTGAAAAAAATATTTACAGTGAAACATGTACATTTAATCACAATGAGTAAGACTAGAACTCTAGTCAACACATTAGCACATTCATTCTTGCATAGATATTCCTAAAATGTAAGTTTACTCAATAAAGAAATGCTCAGTATCCGACATGGTGAACTGAGCTAAAGAACAGTGGACCACAAGATGGCAAAGGGATAAAGAGTTTAAAAAACTGAAGTCTTACAGCAAGAAAAAATGTTTTCTACACTATACCTGAAGGAGCTATCAACATCTCAGTTTTTGTTTTTATGCAAATGTTAGTCTTCAACTGTACTTGATACAGCCGAAAAGTTGGATACTTGAAAATGGTACATGAATAGTTTTTAACATTTGTATCATTTAGTTTAATTTAAATTATTATGCATGACAGAAGTTTTTTTTCCAATTTATTATTTTTAAATATTGATCAACACAGACACCTAGTATGAATAAAATATTATGTTAAACATTTCAGACATCAGTATAAAAAAATAGTACAGGCCAACAAAAATATTGCTAGCTGATGCTTGATCCTAACATTTTAACCCAATATTTGGCATACTCAAGTTGTAGTTGCGCCTATATTCTTTTAACACACACTTAGATAGTTTGAACCAACCATTCTAGCCCAACATTTAGCAAAGTAGTTGCGCCTATATTCTTTAAACACATACTAAGAAAGCTTGATCCTAACATTTTAGCCCAACATTTAGCATATCAAGAAAGTGTTGCGTCTATATTCTTTAAACACACACTTAGCTAGATCCAAACATTCTAGCCAACATTAAGAATACCCATTATTTTAACACACACTTAGATAGCTTGATCCTAACATTCAAGCCCAACATTTAGCATACCCAAGAAATTGTTGCATCTGTATTCTATTAACACACACTTAGATAGTTTGATCCTAAAATTTTAGCCAACATTTAGCATACCCAAGAAATAGTTGAGTCTGTATTCTTTTAACACACACTTAGATAGTTTGATCCTAACATTTTTGCCTAGCACATCCATCTCCCATAGGTCATCTTAGCAAATCCTAATATCACGTAAACAAACCTTTCCTGTAAATTCAAGCACCAGACAGCCTGCGCTCAGTGAAAGATAACCTACAAAACAAAACAGTCATTAGGATAATTAAGTAGTTATAAACACCAATTTCATCAGCCTCAATACAATATCGTACCTTTTTGTTACCAATACTATTATTGCGATTATATTATTGAACAGAAAATTTTATAAATGTTGTCACTAGATATCTGACCTGAGAGCAAATTCAACTACTGTCTATTGTCAGTCTCTGTGTGGCGGTTTGATCTTTTATGGGCTGGTTTTTTCCTGTACCTGCAAACATACAAATTGGGGGACAGAAATTATCATCAACACGTATAATATTTAGAAACAATCAGATGTGTAATATTTAGAAACAATCAGATGTGTAATATTTAGAAACAATCAGATGTGTAATATTTAGAAACAATCAGATGTGTAATATTTAGAAACAATCAGATGTGTAATATTTAGAAACAATCAGATGTGGAATATTTAGAAACAATCAGATGTGGAATATTTAGAAACACATGTGTAATATTTAGAAACAATCAGATGTGTAATATTTAGAAACAATCAGATGTGGAATATTTAGAAACAATCAGATGTGGAATATTTAGAAACAATCAGATGTGTAATATTTAGAAACAATCAGATGTGGAATATTTAGAAACAATCAGATGTGGAATATTTAGAAACAATCAGATGTGGAATATTTAGAAACAGATGTGTAATATTTAGAAACAATCAGATGTGGAATATTTAGAAACAGATGTGTAATATTTAGACACAATCAGATGTGTAATATTTAGAAACAATCAGCTAAACCAGGGGTTCCCAACCTTTTTTTACTCTAGAGCACATTCTAAAATACTGGTAGGGTGGCGGGAACCACCTATTTTAAATCGACAAACTCCTTCCAGAGGCGTAGCGACCCTTCCCGTCACCCTGGGACAAAACTTTCGATTGCACCCCCCCTCATCTTTTCGATTTGCACCCCCCCCCCCCCCTCAAACATTCGATTTCCATCCCCTTCAACCTTTCAATAATGTTTATGAAAAAAATTCTGTCTCTGTCAAATAGTGAGAAGCGGGCACATACGAATCGTTCGGCGGGCGCCATGGCGCCCGCGGGCACGGGGTTGGGAACCCCTGAGCTAAACTATAGGGTGCTTGCAATTTTTAAAACGTAGTAGTCAGGGTGTGTGTCATTGAACAAGCCACGGTTTACCCTAGCTCATCTCAATCTAATAATCTAGCATTGCTTAGTTACTTGTAATATCTCAAACCTATCAGTGTCTAACCAATTTATCATTGAGGTTAGTGGAAATGTGAGCAGACCATAACAAAAAAAAAGAGTTTTCAATGTCCTGCTATACAGTAGCCAACAGACCAGTTGTAAAAAGGCCATTCAGGGTCCAGGCATGTCAGAAGCCTACAGGCTCTATCAGTTAAGCACTTACTCTCTCCAGTTTCTGTGATCTAGAACAGTGAAGTCCTCTAAGTCTGCTATACAGTCTAGACATGTCAGCAGCCTACAGGCTATTTAAGTTGAGCACTTACTCTCTCCAGTTTCTGTGATCTAGAACAGTGAAGTCCTCTAAGTCTGCTATACAATTCAGATATTCTGACAGCTTTATCAGCTCTGTGTCAGTGCTGCGATTAACCCTTGAATCTCGGAATGCTTTGATCTGTAACCAAAATACATGAGATTTTTATTGTTGAGAGAAAATGTACATCACTATATTTGACTATAAACTAAAGAAGTATAATAACTTTCATAATCATGAGTATGAAAATTAAGTGTAGATTAGCTACTTCTGCTACTAGTGTAAATGAAGGAATGTTTGATCATAATAATATAGAGCCACTTGCAACTTTCCATTACTTATGTCAGGTACTCAACAACAGCTGGGTGGACTCAGGAAGGTCAGACAGTGGTGTGCTAGGAAATAACTAGATATTTGTGTTGTTTTCTTAACTCTTCAAGTCTACATATAACACCTATATAAAATATAGCTCCTAACTGATGCAGCTAAATCTATTTGTTATGAACAGTTTTTTTTACAATCAACCACTGACAATCAATTAAAAATCAGTAGCAATAGTGTATTTAAATATAGACTGAAGATAAGTAATTTAATTTTTAAAAAGTGTGCGAGGTCTTAAGGATATTCAATACCTACCCTCAAACCAGACTGTGGGTTCATAATAAAATTTCTCCTCACATCATCAAACATGATAGTGTTTTTCTCACTCCACTGTGGGTACTTGCCCCATATGACACCTAGTGGCTTCACCTAGGTTCAAGTACAACTCAATTAGTTTACGATTGATAATTAATGGTTTGAAATGATAAATTAGTTACAACGATGACGAAAGAAAAGAAAAAGATACAACTGATAAAATCCTTTCAAGGAAAGGACATTATTTAAGTATTTTTATTATTTAAGGTAAAAGTACTTGTTACGTTCGTGTTGGTTTCAACTCAAGAGACGATTCGTATTTACTTCAATACATTTATTCTGTCTCAATTCTTTACACATAACAGACAAGCCCTCATCCTCACCGCTACCAACTGACCGCTGCCCCCCTACAATCGTTCACTCGCCCTTTTATACCCGCATTCGACCTTGGGATTACAATACATAATACATGGGGGTTACTACACACTAGGGTGAACTCAACTCACACACGCACTCTCCCCTAAGTTCGAGACTATTCTACCCTATTCTAACCTGACCTCAAATGACCCGTAACAGTACTGTAAAAGTAAAGTTTCCTTTCAAACCTAACAGTATACTGTAGTAAGCTGGGAACGTGGGGACTTGGACAAAACAAAACCTACCTCAATAACACCATACTTGGGTGTGTGTACTGAAATCATGGCATCTGCATCCAGGTAGAAACAAATCTTGTACTCTTGATGTGTCGACACACCAAGGAGATTCAGCTTGGTCTCAATCCACTTCATACCAGTGGCGGCTGAAACACAACATATGACCTCATCAGATCTCAGCGGGACATGGTTCAACAGAGGAGAGACAACAGTACAACATTTGATCTCATCAGGACATGGTTCAATAGAGGAGAGACAACAGTACAACAAACTCACAAACAACGCAACAATCGCTATCAACAATACAATGAGAATGCATTTACATGTATAAAGACACTTTTGTTTAAATCAGACACCTCGCATAAACTTTGTTGTTTCTATTTTAAATCTTTTAATGCATTTTTCTTTAACAAACTAGTGTAGCAAATGTAATAAATTATTTGGAGTTGTATGTCATCAGCATACTTATAGGTGCACACCCAATTGGAGTTAGTTAGTCCACTGTTAAAAGTTAACACTAGAGTAGCTCATGACTTACACCAGATAACAATGTCATAGCTCTTGTAGGCCTCAGTGAGGAATTCATGTAAGTACGGACGCATCAACTCATTTGCTTGCTCTGCTGTAGAGCGATGATCTGCAACACATAATAGCATTTTGTATCAACCTTCAGGTTAATAAATAAAAATATCTCAATGCGAATAATATTCTATGCTGTACTATTTAACTATATAATGTTATATTATACCATGGAAATATCTGTAATTATGTTATATTTGATAAGCTTTGATTTGGCTACTTTATATTAAGTCATAATCAGTAAGCATAGGGTGGAAAGAGAAGGTAGTTCAGGATTCAGGTTAGAATTGGGTTTAATTTCTTCCACAGTTAAATTTGGTATTGGGGTTTTAATAACTCTGAATCATTATAACAATTAGGAAAATTCAGGATTTTAATATAATTCGAAAATTTAATAGCATAGTACCAAGTACTTTAGGGAAAGTAAAGGCAGCTGAGCATTGTGCTGATCACACTATCTCTTCATATGCTGAGGTCACAGAAACAAGTGAACTCTACTTCACTTGCCCTATAGACCGTCAAGTTTGAAAGGGAACTTTTTACTTTTACTAAGTATGATAAATGAGAAATATTTCCTTACCAAACAAGGTGTAATCAATGTCTAAAACAAGTAACTTTTTCCCAGGTCGACACTCATTCAACGTGTTAATTTGATATGTCTTGATTCGACGCTCAATTTTACTCAGAAATTCTTCCCTGTAACAAACAGGCAATAGACAAATTTCTACAGAATTTCTTAACGGTTACAAATAATACAAAACTAAGTTTATATAGAATAGAAAAACAAGAGCTTTAAAGTTAAGACAGTTCCTTCTATTTAAGAGTATTTTACGGAATTTTAAAAATTAAGCATATCATATGTTTTAATTTAACAAGTTATTGAATAGTATGATAATATAAACTATATACCTATTTTCTATAGCTATTTCTTCCTCTTCTATATCAAAGTCATTGATAACTTCAGGCAGATCTGCTGGGGCCTCACTTACTTTTTCCTTAAAAAATTTTAACATATAATTTGTTGCTTTGTAAAAAAATAAATAGTTTTTAATTTAGATCTCATTACTGTAGATACCTAATTTTTTATTTTTGTAAATTCCTACAAAACATATATTTTCTGTTTGAACCATCATAAATATTGAATTAAATATAAATGCAACACAGACAGGAGTTATGACTTACAATTTGGTCCTCTTTAGTTCCCATAAGAATGAGTTTCATATTGGGACGTAACTTTAATGCCGAAAGTGGTGTCTCATCTGTAAGCTCACTGGCTAATTGGACAAAACAGTTTCAGAATTAGACACAAATCAAACACAAATTATGTCAAACAATAAAGCCACAGAAGTTATTGTGGATGATTTTAGATACAGATGTCCGATAATACTCTTCCATAAAATAGGAGTGCTGGGTTGTTAGTAGTATTGTAATCTCGACTAATTTTATGGTTAGAAATTAGGGTTAGACGTATGGTAGGATTAGGGTTGGGGTTAGGGACAGGTTTAGCAGTGACATTAGCCAGCAATGTGTGCATTTAGTTAACTACCAGTAACCTAACACCCCCTATTAAAGAAGATTCAATTATCGGACACTGGTATAAAAATCCCCCGTTATTGTTAATTGGGAAAATGTAATGATTTATTACTACAGTCAGTGTCTTGTCCAGACTTTCCTCTCCAGGGGGGCACGATATTTTCGGGGGGGGGGGGGGGGGGGGAGGGGCGACAGTTGTTTGGGGGTATCGGAGCGGACACTGATAAAAGTATATATTTTCTATATAAATTCCATTCATTGGGGGAGGGGGGGGGGGGGGGGTAGATCTAGATAGATATAAATAGGCCAGAGTGAGTTCATTTTATGTTGACATTTTATTTTTAGACTTCACTGTACAACGCAGATCTGATCATTGGCCAGACAAACACACTGTCAGACACTGGTATAAAAATATCATCCTTAAATATATACTCAATGCAACAAGCCCACAGGTTGGTTGAGGCCATGTCGGGGGTTTGTTCTGATAGGCTGCTAGGGATAAAAAGGGTCAACTCCAAATATTGACCGTTTACTAGATGTCTTGATTTAGTCTAGTAGTTAGATCTAGATCTAAATTTAGACAGATTTAGATATAGAACGGCTGCTTTCACTGAGGCGGGGGAAGGGGGGATGGAAGGGAGGGTAGTGTCGAATTCACTAACTTATTGAAGAACTGAAAAGTAGAAAATAAAACAACTAAAAAGAGGCGTAGCTGCAGGTCAGCTCATTTTACTTAATTTTAGACTGATCCTTGAAATCTCAATCTAATAGTAAATAGAGAACCTAGATAGAGTCTAGAATAGATCTAGATATAGATCTAGATCTAGATCTAGACCTAGATCTTCAATCTAGAATAAATAATTTTATATGTAGTTTTATAGTATTATGAATTATTATGTAGATTCTAGAATCTAGATCTAGATCTCTAGATGGTCTAGATCTAGAATAATCAAGAATCTAGATCTAGATAGAATCTAGAGTAGAGACAGACTCAGAGACCCCTAGCTAGACTAGCTACAAGCTAGGATTCTAGTTCTAAATCTAGATCTAGATCTAGATCTAAGACTCTAGATCTAGAAAAGTTCTAGATTCTAGCTAGATCTAGAGACTTATAGAAATATAGATCTAGATTCTAGATCTAGAGTCTGGATTCAAACAGAAAACAACTGCAGCAAACTTTTTTTTTTAACTTGATTCTTGAGCAGACGTGTCAAACAACACATTTACCTACGTTTAATTTTTAGTCCGAGCAATTTCTGACGATTAGGCTGGACAGAAGTCTTACTGTATATCGCTTCTTTCAAGTCTTTAACGGTATCTCCTCCAGACAGCCCTGTTATTTTGTATTCATCTTTCGAAAACTTAACAATCAAATCTCCCACTTCGTCCGCCATTTTGTCCGATTGTTGTTAAAAACTAAGGTAGGCCTACCGGCTAATAACCAACGAAACCTAGCCTAGCTTTTATCTTTTTTTACTACTTTAGTGAAGAGGGGGGGGTGCTATTAGACCTAGATTAGTATGTTAGGCCTAATAATAATCCTTGTTGTTTTATTTTTTATCTCGTTATTATAGAGTATACAGACTGGACTTCAATAGTCATAATCAATAATTATAGATCTAGACTCTAATACTTATATCAAGAGCTAATAGTAATAGAGCCTAGTCAAATCAGTATTCTCCCTTTATTGGTCTCAACTTAAATTTCTGTTAGATCTATTTTTTGATCTAGTTTTGCCTGTGTGCTCTTAAACTTTAATGTATTGATGAGAGTAAAGCAGTTTATTTAATAATGGGATTTTATTTTTACTGAGCTTATTAAAATCAATTTGGGTTTATATAGAAAAGGATGTATTCAATGAAAGTATATTAAATTATTACAATAAATTGTATCATTATATTTAACTTATGACGTTACTAATCACAGAACTGACAGGCAAACAATGTAATAAAAAAACTAACACCACTTGTTTTTATTGCAAATATATTTTAGTTTTTTTTTATTTGTCATTTTGTCTTCACAATTTGCTTTGCCCTTCAAATAATATGTTTTCTCCAGAGCAAAGGATCAACACAAAAATATGGTGAACAACTTTTTTACATTTAACAATAGAATATTCAAATGGCTGAACACACAAATCACAAGACAACCAAGCATACAGTATGCAAGGGTGAAAATGAAGAAAGATTTTGATGCAAACCTTATTTGCCGAAATGTTTGTAATAAATTTTTTAAAAACTTGCATACTGGATACCTTGATGAGATGTTAACAATATATATATATATCCCTGCTGCAAACAACCACTAGGCTAACACAATTAACACAGATTAAATAATAACACTATGTGATCTCACATTTAACTCTTGGTTTACTCTTATTAAGAGAAAATAGAAAACAAAATATTTTGCTGCACTGTGACTAGGTCTTTAAATGTAAACAATAGATATATGTTAAATTTGTTTCAGATTAAATTTAACTTTTGAATACTTTTAGTCTGTGAAATAAAACATTTATGCAAACACCAGAAAGTGATTTGATACAAGCTAATAATAATAAAAAAACTTAAACTTAGCAACTAAAATTTTATTATTTTTGGCAGTGTAGAAACAAAAAGGAGTACAAATGAGAAGGATTTACTTACAACAAAAAAGTATAATAAAAACAGGCTATCTATAAAACAATGCATGACAAATGGTCCACAAATATGGGAACAAAATGGTTTGTGTTACAAAACATATATGCACATGATAAGATGAACATGATTTTCGTGGAATCATTTACATAGTTGTTCACTATAACTATTAGGGTTGGACAACATAAAATCTTTGGACAATTGCCAATTAGTAAGCTAATCATTTGATCAGATCCATTCCAGTTGAGCCTAAGCTCCTTTTATTTAGTTCAAAAGCCAAAAATTTTATGTTTTTAAATGTAACATAAGTGCCAATTAAAAAGCTATGGTTCCAAGCTCAATTAAATATGTCATGTAATTAAATATATTTCTTCATTATTATTCAGGTAAAGCACATGGTGTCAGAACTGTGCAGAGACTTTTAAATCATGGAATTAAATTTTACTTTGTACACCCAACCTTTTACAGACTGTACATCTTCAAAGCACTGACATAACTGTACATTTAATATTATCAAAAATGGTTGCTTCTGGGGAAACAAATTCATGTTAATATTTAGAGTACTTTTGTACTTTTTCTGTCAATATTAAACAACACTATCATTTAAGATGGTATGTAATATCAATGCAAATAATTAGATTTTGCCTGTCACATTAAATCTGCCATATAACTGGAACACCCACTGAGTCATCTCAGAGAACTAGGGATAAGGTTTTATTACAATTGGTTACTTTCTTGTATTTAAGCATAACATGTTGAAACAAAAGCAGAACTGATCAGTACTGGCCTAGATGGTGAGGTTAGTCTTACCCAGCTAAGGCATGTTGCAAAAATAAAAGCTTAGCAAAAATGAATGTGTATGAAACTACAACAAGCTACTAAACAAGTACGTTTTAGTAGACATACAGCAAAAATCAGAAGCACTTTACTACCTGGTAATTATTATATTGTTGTTAATTATTATAAAAAGATCAATACACTTCTAGATTACAATAAAATGAAACACTTTTAAACAATGAATGAACAATTTGTCTTAACTTTTAAAATGTTCCAATATTTACACCAAAGAAGTTAATCTAAAAAATTTAGAGGTTTTACCTAATTACTAAACAAAATTCAGTTATTTTTGTTAAACATAGCTTTAGTTAATAACTCAAAACACTTAGAAAAATTATTAACTCTACCGTTAAAATAAAATGCAGACATAAATAAATAAGCCAGGTGGTAAAGTGCCAACAAAAAAAAACAACATGAAAGTTGACCAGGATAGTGAGTGTTCTAGCTAGAGCAAAACTACTTAACTAACTTTTTAAAATTGAATAAATAAAAGTATTTCATTAAAACAATACTTGTATGTATTGTAGCTCAGAAATTTACAGAATAAATATGAAAATACTTTTACAATCAGAAATCTCAATGGATAAAATGCTTTTCACCGAGTAATACCTACAACATGTACTAACCTTTGTTTGGGCGTTTTTTCATACAATTTTATCTAACTAATACAACATGACAAAATGTAATAAATTAACCCTACTAGAGTACATCTGAAAATAGAACAATGACTATTCAATTTATCCAATACCAAATAAAATAACATGTCTAAAAGTATTATTCAACTGCTACAGAAAACTATCTTTAATTAATTTGAATAGAAACTTAAAACAAAATATTATGAAATTGGTTAACCTTTATGTAGGGTGTAACTGTAACTATATTATTTGCCTGCTGAAATGAAAGTTTTCAAGTCCATAGTTGGTAACTCATTTTATAGAACTGACAAACTCCCATTTGTTGATAACATGACTTGTTTCTTTATACTCCTTTTTAAAGCCATTATGTAGTTTGCGAGAAAAAAAGATTTTCTGGGAATCAGTTCCACAATGAAGATTTCTATCCATATTTTCCTCTTCTTGAAATTATCCACTGCAATGTTTTGTTTATTTGATCATATTAACTCTCCAGACGCTAGCTTGCTTGTGACAAGGGACGGCTTCCTGGCTTGAATATTTTCTGGAGTCGGAATGGTCTCACCAACAGCTTCTGCTTTAATTATCTTTTCTGGTGGTGGTGGAGGTTTAGACTTGGCACTGAGTTTTGCTTTAGCCATGGCATAATCCCCAGAGTCAAAGTACTTTTGCTGAGGAAATAAGTAAAATAATACATATTTAAACAAAAATAGTAAAACAAAGCTAGATAAGTTTCATTAAATTATTTCCATGAAACAGCATGAAGTATTCCTTACCTTTAGGCCTACTTACTTACATTAATTTAAATTATCAAAAGAAAAAACACTTTTAACAACTTACTCCTCCTTTCTGAAGTCTTTTATTTAAAAGAGCTGATCCACCTCCACCTTTAGCAAGATTTGGATACTTGGACTTAAGCTTTTCTTCTTCCCTCTGCTCAACCTGTTTTTTGTCCTGAAAAATAAATAGACCTACTGAGTACCTAGTATTTATATTTAAAGAACTAGAGATCTATTACTATCTATACATTTTAGGAAGTGGCTATTAGGACCCGGGTCCCAATAGCCACGGCCGCTATTGGGACCCGGGTCCTAATAGCCTCGGCCGCTATTGGGACCCGGCATTAAGTTCGTTAAGCATTTGTACAACCTGTATTAATATCTTACTTTTTATATTTATTTGATTTTTTCTTGTGGATTTGCTAGCATTTTGTTGTCTTTTAATGTAATTAGTTATGCGGATTATCTAGCATTAGTTCTTGTGTTGCTATTCCTAAATACCCTATATTTAACTGTATATACATAATTATTAAATACATAATAGTTATTCTAAGACATCGTGGTCGAGTGGAGAACGCAGTACCTCCCGTATCTCGATCAGGCACGGGATCGAAACCTATCAAAGCTCTCGATTTTGCGAGAAGTAAGTGTTTTTATCTAAGTTTTACAACTGAGTTATTTGCGTGTCTTTTTTAGTTGTTTTTTTTTTAAATAGATTTTTTTTTCTAGATTTAGGTTTTTAAACACGTCAATCATAAACATCGATGCTCCATTGATCGCCCGCTCACGTTTTCTGGTCAGCTCAAGAAAAATACAGACACGGTCTAGCCATGGTCACTGCCAGTTCACTTTGCTTTAGATGTGAACAATGTAGGCGTATAGCATACGTCATAGCAAGACCAATGCTATGCGCTTGTCGAGATTTGTCGTCGTTGTAGTCCCCCCCCCCCTCCCAGCCCAGCAAGAGGGGAAAAAAGAATTTGGAGTTCAAATGTTACATATTGCTTCTATTAAAGCGTACTACAATGCATGCGAGACATTCGTGTTCACGAAAACGGGCCCGGGAGCTGTTGTCTGCAGCCTATAGAGCTATTTTATACAATTATATATATATATATATATATATATATATATATATATATATATATATATATATATATATATATATATATATATATATTGAACGGATAGACCTATGAAATCAAATTATGTTTAACAGAAGAAAAAATAAATAAAACACATTTTTACATGCGCGCTCAACATCCGCTCGGCAATAGAAGTTCATACCATAGGCCATAATTACGTTATAGACCTAACGATACCCACTCATCAAAACATTTGTCAGTAATGATATCGGGTATTTAAAGCAAGATCTCAATATATCATTTACAATTACAAGGGAAAAAATCACAACAGAAAAGATACATTCTGCATCTTAAAAGAATTTTTGTATAACTAAATCTAAACAATTCTATTGGCTGGTCCCAATAGCGGCCGAGGCTATTAGGACCCGGGTCCCAATAGCGGCCGAGGCTATTGGGACCCGGGTCCGAATAGATGCATCCTACATTTTAAACTCAAGTAGGAACCTTCTAGATCTAGATCTATAAAATCGAACTTAATATAATTTATAATATTAATTAATATAAAATGGAAAAAAAACTGTTATAGAATTCTGCAACTGAATTATTTTCATTTCAGATTTTTGTCTGTAGGCCCTGGACTCAAGTCCTATTTTAAATTTAATTTTAAAAAATAGATCTAATGTCCCCATACAATTCATGTCATTCAGGCTCACATTTATCTAATCTAGACACATGATGTTTCATTAACACCTTAACAACATTGTGTAACCGTACAACACTAGATCTAACTGAAAATACAATATTTATTTCACCACAATCGTACAAAAACATCTCTACTCTCACTCAAGCACCACTACGGCGCTACTTTTAGGTCTAGAAATTTGGATCTTACTTCTTGAGAATTTTCTTCATCCTCCTCTCTTACTGTTTCACATGTCCTATCTTCACTAGCATCTGAAGCCATCTTTCAAAATCAGGAAAAATTTGCAATTGTGTAATTCTAAAATATAAATATTCCTTGTTGCTTCACACACTGTTGAGCGGTGAAACAAAATGGCTTTTGACTGACGTCACTGTTTTCTGTGTACTTTGTTAGGGCATACTAATCACCAAGTAATTGCATCCAAAAAATATAAACCTTAATGTAAGTAATGTGGGATCCAAATACAACTATTGTAAAAATATATCAAACAAAATGATTTAACTGAATATGTCTGTATTAGTTTTAATAAATGAAAAAGTGAGACTGGCGCTGGGCATCCCGTGGGTCGTTTGATTCTATACTCAATATGCTGAGGCGAAAATCCTCAGTTCAAGTGAAAAGCTAATCTAATCTAACCAGGTTCAAGTACATAACTAAGTTTTAAAGAAATACGCGATAACTGAAAGATTTCTTTTAAACCACGAAGTCTATCTTCTCTCAATCTCTCACACACGATGTAACGCTTTGTTGTTTCGAAATTTCACACGTTTCAACTTCATATAGATCTATATAGGCCCTAGGCCTACAGTAAAACGTGAAACTGTAAGATATTAATCATTCAATGTCGTGAACGTTTAGGAAATAAATGCAGTATCAAAGAGATAATACGGGATATAAAGAAAAAGATATCTCACAATGTAAGCTTACAATGGAGAGGGATTAAGTCAGCGCGCATTCTAACTGCAACTAAGGGAAAGAGAAACCCGCTGACAGAGTTGCTTACTATCAATCATCTACTCTACCGAGCGAAATAGAATTTTTATACACAAAAAATATACTTCAAAAAGCTGTGCCTCCCCCCCCCCCCCCCCTCATAAAAAATCACTCTCTTAATATAAAAATTTATATGTCTACACATTTAATTGTGAATATCAAAACAGATCAATAATTACTTATTAGTATGCAATATGTATGCTTAATACTATTCGTTTTTACAAAAATATGTTGTCTACAATTAGATTAAAATATTTTGTCATCATAAACGCTAAAATATTACAGCCTAATAAACGTCTTTGAAATCAGAGTTGGTGTAAAACCACGCTTTTAGTTCTGATAGAAAAACTAAATTTAATCACTGGAATATTCTGAATAATAGCCTACATATTACTAAAATGGTCTTGCAGTTTTTTTTTGTTTTTTTTTTGTGTTCTTTAAAGATCATTCTTTTAACATAATGATAAGGTATGGGTGAGATCACTGTATTGCTCACACACCTCTTTACTGGTGATTGCAAAAACAATATTCACATAGTTTTACCTGTTTCAAAAGCAATAATTCTGGCGGCATGGAATATGGGTCAACTTCATTCACCACTGCCCGGTGACTTTAGGTCTATTATACTACCCAGCATGTACCTAGGTGTGACATTAATGTCGCTCTACACAATTACGGCCTGTCCAGTTCTGGTGGTGAGGTGGGGGGGGGGGGGGGGGGGGTAACCAACTCAGAGTGAACATAGCGTCAGTTTTTAGGTGACTGTTCTAAATATACATATAAAATTATACATATATACTGATTCAGAAATATATTGAAATAAGTAACAGTGGTATTATGACAATAACATTTTTAAAGAGGGGTCAATGGTGGTGATGGTTGTAGCCCCCCCCCCCCCCTAACCTCCCCCTACCTACGCCACTGGTCGTAAGTTAAAAGAAACAAAGTACTATCTCGCACTTTCATTACCCCCGCAAAAAGGACATCAAGACTTAATCTCTAATCCGAGTAACCGAGACATCTTAGGGCCTTCCAGCGTCATCGTACATCTGATACAGAAACAAACAGCGCCATCTCACATGCAGTAAAGCGACTGCGTTATGACCACATTATAAGCGCCATCTTCTTCTTCTTAGTTCTTAATTCTAGTGTTGGAAGATATCCCCTCCAACACAGTATAAGTATTAGGTGTCAACTTGTTATGCGCCGTATAGGCAGCTGACTCCGATTTTAGGCTGCTTTTCTTTTTGAATTTGGTTCCAGAGAATTTGTTTAACCAAGAACACAGTAATATTGGGTTTTGGAGTTGTCTCTCCTAGATGAGTGTCTGTACCCAGCTATCGAGCCTCATCTAACCGGTGGTTTGAACTCGGGACTTTCCGGTTCAGCAAGTATACCATAATTTCAGAGGCAGGTGCATTTTGTTCAAGGTACATTGTGAACGTGAGTTTGTCCAACGATAGTTTCTTCCAGGCATCTCTTCGGGGGGGGGGGGGGGTCTCTCCGCCCCCCTCCCCTCCAAAGAGTCTACCCCCCCGCCCCCCTAACGAAATGGAATTTATATAGAAAATATATACTTTTAACAGTGTCTGCCCCCCCCCCCCCCGGAAATTTTAGTCCGCCCCCCCCCCCTCCGAAAATTTCAAGTGCCCCCCCCCCCCCCCGGAGAAAAAACTCTGGAAGAAACACTGTGTACAACAACATTAATATCTAGATCTTGCACCAGCTTTATAAAATAGATAATGGTAGTATGCAGGTGAGGCTATCCACGAAAAATCATCATGCTTAATAAATTTACAAACCGGAGAAAAACAATCTTCCATTGAATATGAATACAGGCGTAAATACCCTATCGATTGAATGTTATCAATCCACAATCCAATTGTAAATAGATATAAATATTTTGCAGCTAAAAGCGAAAATCATTTAGCAACAGCCAAGAAATTTTATTCAAGCAATTATATGATTTAAAAATCCTCAGTAAATAATCTAGAGAATGCAATCATTGAGCAACGAAGGGGAAATAATCAATGTGCATTCAAGATCAAGTAATCATCATTTAAATTGATGTGATGAATGTGTAATCAATATCAAGTAGGGGGGGGGAATCAGAAGCGATACTTTATGGCTGAATGTTTTTAAACCTCAGCTGCCATTTTTAATCTCATGGAATGGCGTGCATAGAATTCTTACAACCCATTTCTGAGCGATATGTGAATGCATTGAAAGGGAGGTAAAAATATTAAATATGGTGTATAATATGTTACCTCTCTTAGGTATACATTTCTACACTAAATTTGTATAAATCATATTTACTAATTTTTAGCATAGTCATTTCATAACATGTAGGCCTAGGTTATTTTTTTTTTAAGTAAAGAAGGTGAGATGAAAAAATTCGAACGGTAATTTAGAACCAGCAAAAAAAATTATACCCATTACATCTTTGGTTGCAGTCAGTGTACATGAAACCACCCCAAATAATGAAATATACCGAAACAAACAGGCCGCGCTATGATTTTAGCAGCTGTCGGATCGACGACCTAAGATAGACTTCAAAGATAAAGAAGAATTATTCAAGGGGCGCTACTGAGATCTTAGCAAACGTATTTTTTATCAACTAGGATTATCTACCATAGTTGATTGATTTGGCTGAATTAAGTTGGGGGTCATCCATTTATTCTCATCCGTTGAGCTTGTTTTTAAACACATTATTATACATATATTTATATGTAGTTTTATATATTTTTTTTAAAAAAATATTTTTAAATGGGGGCGTCCATAAATGACGTCACACTCGTAGGGGGGAGGGGGGGGGGGTCGTAATTTTGTGACGGTGTGTGATGAGGGGGGAGGGAGGTTAGATGGTGTGACGTCACACTTTTGCATTATAAATAAGCAATGTTAGAAAACGAGTTTTAGCCGTTATTTCGCGTTTTAGAAAACGGTTTTAATAAATTGTAACAGGAATTGATCAAAATACTCTATGATGACAGAGTTCTGAAAAGATATCGGAAAAATCAGTGGCGTAGCGAGGTCGGGTGTCACTCGGTGCGGCACTTAATGGTGTCACCCCCCCCCCCCCCTCCCCCCAGAGGCGTAGCGACCCTTCCCGCGGACAAACTTTCAAGCTTTCGATTTGCACCCCCCCTCAAACTTTCGATTTGCAGCCCCCCCCCCCTCAAGTTTTTCTCTATATATTTTGCTATTTTTTGCCTTGGTGTCACCCCTCTAAATGGTGTCACCCGGTGCGGTCCGCACCCCACCCCTCGCTACGCCTCTGCCTAAAACTATCTCCAACGATATACTATCAGGTGAGATGGAAATGGAAGCAGCTTCCCACGAAATAATCGGAAAAAAAATGATGATGCTGGATGAGCACGTCCTTAGAATGGATCCAGATGACATCACAGGAAAGGCGCTATACTGGACGCCTCAAGGAAAAAGAAAGCAGAGAAGACCAAGGAATACGTGGAGGCGCACGGCGGGGAAGCAGCTGGCACAGGCAGGACTGTCATGTGTGACTGCCGGGAAAAAATGCTAGTGACCGATACAAGCGGAGGGAGCTTTTTGTGGCGGCCCGAAGTGTCTTTGGCACAAAAATGGAAAATATGATGATCTATTAATTATAACATTTTAATGACTAGATTACCACTCCTTTCGATTTGCACCCCCCCCCCCCTCAAATTTTTCTCTATATATTTTGCTATTTTTTGCCTTGGTGTCACCCCCCTAAATGGTGCCACCCGGTGCGGTCCGCACCCCCGCCCCACCCCATCGCTACGCCTCTGCAAAGGCTTTCTTGGCTTTAGAGATGTGTGTTTAATTTCAGTGGTGCTGTTTTCTTCATAATTGACAATGCTGCCTCAATATGTGAACTCTTTTACTTTCTGTACTTGTGTGTTGTTTATTTTAATAGCTTGACCAGAGGTATTTTGCTTCATAACTTTGGTTTTGTTAATGTTTAATTTGAGTCCAAATAATTTGCTAAATAAATAAATGTATTTAATTTTCCTCGCATGTTTTTTGACTACTTGCTAGTAGGTTATTATATCAGTTCAGGTTGGATAAAGAAAATGTTACATTTTTATCTTATATCGTATGTGCATGATATACTTAAAATAAACTGCCTAAATGTACAGACACACGTAGGTAATTGTTACACTAAATGTATTGAACGGACATTAAGGAAAACAACATAAACGTTAGAATAATATCCAGCGAATAATATCCAATTCAGCAAAACGTTTCAAATTTTAAAACATTTTTTAAAAATGTGAATTCCCGTCGGGTCTAAAACGCTGGCTAAGGTCTAGAAAATCGATTATGAAATAGCCTCAAATTGAACTCACCATAGCACAAGTGCAATGCTAGTATCAGAATCCGA